TAATCCTATTGATCCCTCCTCAGAGCAGCCCTTAATATTTGTTTATCTCATTTTTTTTCTTGCAAAGTGAATACATTTTTGTTTGTTGGTTAGTTTTGTCTTCCTGAGACAGTCTCTACATAGTCCCTCTGTTGTAACTTACTAGGTAGACCAGGCTGAACTCAAACTCAAGATATCTGTTTGCCTTGTCTCCCCAGTGTGTACCATGACCAGCCCCTCGACACTGGTTTTAGCAACTCACTCATCACATATTTCAAGTACCTTTGTGATGCTCTAGTTGATTTCCTCCAAACAAAAGATAAGGTAAAATCTGTCCAGTAACGTCCACAGTAAATGTTAACAGTGGTTCATAAAAGAGAGGGGAATGAATAAGAGCTAACCCTTCCTCTACTAAATCTATTTATGCTGTTAACACAATCTAGATCTGAGTTGCCTTTGTTCCTTTGCACAGTGGATTTCACACTATAATTCTAATGACTTCTTTCATACCATCTGCAACATACTACATTTCTCCCAACTTCCTATCTTCTGCAAATGTCATCAGCCTGCCATCAGTCTTCACCTATGTCATCAAGAATAAAAAAGCCCCCTCCCCTGGGGGTGGGGGAAGAAAGACAAGAACATGATGATGGGCCAACCTGAGACATCAGTCTGTTCGGATTTCTCCATCTTCCAAGATCCTGATGTGAAACTGAAAACCCTTGTTAAAATAAAAACTCAGCATTTTCACAGAATTCTTTTGCTCTAATAAACCTTTTATGTTTACCTCCTGTGATACTGGGGTAGAATTTAGAGCTTCATGAATGCTAGCCAAGCAGTAAGCTACGTCTGTCTCATTTTAAAAACCAAAAAAGCAAAAAGTTTACTTAAATCACTGAACTTTTTAGGGCATAAAATTAATTGTCCATCTAAAAGTAAATCAGGGCTGAGGACACAGCTCAGTTGGTAAGCAGAGCTCTTGGCCAGCATGCGCAAAGCTCGGGGTTCAAACCTCAGCACTATATAAAATTAAGCCTGGCATCAGGTTTATAGTCTCAGGAAGTAGAAGAAACAGACACTCAAGGCCATCTTTAACTACATATTAAGTTATAAACCAGCTGGCTATACATGAGACTGTCAGAAGTGGTAAAAATCAACATTTAAGAGCATACGTTTGGGTGTCAAGATATAACTCAGAAGTAGAAAACCAGACAGTATAAATGTCTTGTAATTCGTATTTTAAAAAATTTGTCTCATGGACTGGAGATGGCTCGGCAGTTAAGAATATGTACTACTCTTGGTAGGGCATGGAGGTGCCTACCTTTAATCCTAGCAGAGGCAGGTGGCTCTCTGTTTCAGGACCATCTACATAGTGAGTTCCAGGGCTACACAGAAAGACCATCTTGCCAGGGTGGGGATGTGGTGGGTGTTAAATAATGTATGCTTTTATTCAGTTTTTGTAAATTTATCATGAGTATTCACTTTTTTTAGACAATCCCATTATGTAGGCCAGGTAGGCCTTGCACTTTCCATATTCCTGCTTCATTCAGTGCCAGAATAACAAGCATATACCATCACAACTATCTTCATAAGATATCCCCGATGCTTTAAAATTTAAGTCTACAGATAGGAATTTCTTTAAAGTGACACTTCTTGTTCATAGGTATGTATACATCTATCTGGAAAGTCAAGAACAACACAAGAAACAGGTTCATTTACAGACACATTTCACTGAATACTAAATTTAAGCACATTCTTCCACTTGTTAAATTCTAAGATATCTCCAATTGTCAAATTTAACTAGGGTCTTCTTTAAACTTTTTTTTGCTAGGAAAGAACATTACATTTTAGAATTCAGACATCCCAATTCTCCTTGCAAAAAAACTTAATTTTAGCCACAACTACAAACTATCAATTATAAGAGCCTATATATAGCTTTTCATTCAATGGCAAAGGTGAGTGTGTGTGTTGGAATAGAGAGGTGGAGACTGAAAGGTCCCAGTGCTTACTGTCTAACCACTTTAGAAAAGATGAGCATCAGATCAGGTCCAGGAAAAGGCCCTGATCACACAGAGAGAGAACACATGTCTGCTTTTGGCCTCTTTGCACACATGTATACACGCATGTATACACACACACACACACACACACACACACACACACACACACTCAGAAGGCAAAATTTAAAAAAACACAAAAACAAAACAAAACAAAAAACAGGTTCAATGAGATAATGGTTCACAGGCTAAAGGCACTTGTGTCAAGACTAGGTTTAATCCCCAGAATCCGCAAGAATGGAACTAACTTCAACAAACTGCCCTTTGACCTCAACCAGGCAGGTGGTATGTATATCCCCACACATATAACCAAGCAAATGAAATTTTAAAAAAATTTAAATCAAGTTTTTAAAAGTAAACAAAGAGCAATCAATCAGCTAAGGGGCCTGAGTGCTAATCTAAGTGACTTCATTTGGTACAGAAGTCTACCACGTACTATGCTGGATCAAGAAAACTGGATGAACATGAAACTCTGGGCCTTCTCACCTTTTCTTCTTCAAGACTTTTATGTGCATTGGTGTTTTGTCTGCATGTTGTGTGAGGGTGTCAGGTCCCCTGGAACTACAGTTGGGACAGTTGTGAACTGCCACGTGGGTGCTGGGAATTGAACTCAGGTCCTCTGAATGGGTAGCCGGTGCTCTTAACCACTGAGCCAACTCTCCAGTCCCTTTTTCTTCTTGTTTCAGTAAGACAGGATCTCACTGTATAGCCCTGATTAGACAAGAACTTGGCCACCTGTTTCTGCCTCAAGTGCTGGGATTAAAGGTGTGTGTCACCGTGCTGGGCCAATTCTCATCTTTTTTAAAGATCTTTCTTTTCAAGGTTCAAGAGTCACGAAAGCTAAAGACATATGCTATGTGCTTTCATCAACACTGGCAACATATTATTCACCAAGCAGAAGATGGAGTGGCCACTGTGGTGGTGGGGATGACCACGACTCAATGTCAACTATGAAATGCAGGCTCTGTAGGTCACTTGGATAGACCATGCCTACTACCCAAAACTTCACCACCTATTTTGTTCTTCCCTTTGAGTTTAAAAAAAAAAAAAATCCATTTAGAAAGCAGTACTATTGTTTCGTGGAATAGGGGGTCATTTCTGATGGCCTCCATTGCCACCTAGACTTGCTTAGTATTAAAGCACAGCTCATGTCCCCCACCCTATCTGCATTCCAGGTATCTTTACTTAATTTAACTGTCAACAGCCACCCAGACTCCAGGCCATCTAGTGGGACAGTTGGTTGCAAAGTTAAATGAGCTGGGAGCGGTGTCTCAGATCTGAGTTTAAAGCCAGCCTAAGTTCCACACTTGCCTAAGTTCCACAAATAATCAGTCTAGCAAAAGGAAGAAACAATAAAACAACCTAAGTTCTAGTCCCAACTAAGGCTCCCAGGTAAGCAGCAGCCAGCCCCTCCCCTCCCACTGTATTTACCTCACTTTTCTTCTTACCCCACACCATGCTATGGATATAAAGTAACTGACCGGCAGATACAAATTCAGGCAAAGTCAATGTACTAAAATAAAGCCTCCGAAACACTGTGCTTAGAATAATAAGTAAACAACTGCAGTAATTACTTCCAAGTGACAACGAAAAGTTTAACGTCTGTTTCCTAATACTAAAGTATTTCGAGTAGATGGTCCACTTTGATCAGTTTTATGTTCCCCAAGTATTCACTATAAAGAGTCATGACTACTCGCCCAAACGGTGGCAAAGCTCACAGAAGAGATGGTAATTTGGAGGTGCGGGTTGAAACAAACTGGAAAAAGCAAGCAGGTAGGCAACTCAATCTCAGTATCCCCAACCTAGTGGGAGGAGTAAGCAGTCGCAAACTATCAGCTATAGGAGATCATCTTATAGGAGACAATGCTGGGGGGGGGGGGGAGGGCACAAAACCGTTGCTGGACCGGATCCAAACCTCTTCGGCATTAGATTAAGATACTTTCCATATGGAAACTTGGAATGAAGAACTGACAGCTGTAAAAACACTTAAGACTAAATCTTTAAACTAAGGAGCCACAGTTATTGACTTCAGTCTGTCCTACCCCCCAACCCCCCCCCCCGCTCTCGCTCTCTCTCGCTCTCTCTCACACTCACTCACACACACACACACACACACACAGGACCAAACCACGCCCCGCCACCCAAGGCACATTCCATACAACAGCCCTGGAAGACATTAAAAGGCCGCCCAGGGAGAGGGGCGGCGGAAACTTCTCGAAACCATGTGAGTACAAGTCCGCTCGCTAGCGGAACGCAGTCTCTTTAGGACTAACGTCGCTCGGGAAGAGGGACGGTTACACAAGTCCCCGAGCCGTGCACGCGGGGGAGGGGGAGCGAGCAGCAGCCGGGGCTTGGGCCGCGCGGTTAACGCGCGCGTCCCCGGAGCAGGGCATTTGCAGGCGAAGGGGAGGGAGGACGGGGCCAACCCCTTCGGGGCTCCCAGGTGCGGGCAGAAGCATCGGCGCTCATTTCCCGGGGCTGAAGTGTCAAAACTCACTTTTGCCCCTAGGAAGGGGGGGGGGGGAAGCACGGGTCCCGCCCAGGCGGCGCTCGGGGGCGGGGCCTGCCGCAACCCGGAGGCGGGGCCGGGGCCCTGGGAAGCCGCTCGCCAAGACGCTGGGCTGCCCGCAAGCCTCGGGAGCACGGGATCCCGCGATCCCGCGTGGCCCGGCCCGGCCCGGCCCGGGCTCCAGGGTGCGGCCCACCGGGCCGCCGACTGCGCGGCCGAGCCCGCGCCAGGCCAGGGGCGGAGGTGGGAGCGGCCGCGAAGCCGACCCCGGGGTGGGGGGGGGGAGGGAGGAAGACGCGCACGCGCACGCGCGCCCCCGAGCGCCCCGGCCCCGAGAGGAGGCCGCGCGTGGGGCCCGGCCGGGAGCGCGACTCCGGGCCCGCGCGCGGCCCAGCGCCTTCGCCAAGTCACCGCAGCCAGTGCAGCCCGCCCCGGGCCCCGCGCTCCACACTGACCTGACAGGCCGAGACATGTTCGCTGTCGAGGCGCCGCCGAGCCGAGGAGCCGAGGACCGGGACTCCCCTCCCCTCCCCGCGCGCCCGGCGCCCCACCCCCCCCGCTCCGGCCGGCGGGGCCGCTGCTGCCGAACCCCGAGCCGCTGGCTTCTCGCGGCTCCGCGGCTGCTTGCTCGCTTCCCGGAATCCGCCCTTGGAATCCGCCGAGCCCCCCGCTCCCCCGTCTCCCTCAAAATGGATGAATCAAACCAGCCGAAAATGCGCCAAAGCCGCGGCGCAACCAAAGCCGCTGGGGTTCGCGCGCCCCGCCCCAGCCCGCCCGCTCTGCCCCAGCACGCCCGCCCATTGGTGGCCTCTGCCAGACGCGCCCTGGCCATTGGTCCATTTGAATCATCACGCCTCCGAGGCCCCGCCCCACTCCCTGACAGGCCCCGCCTCCTCCATGGGGTCCTGTTAGTCAAGGTGCGCTGAGAACGCAGGGCCGCAAAACAAAAATGGTCGCCGCTTGCCCGCCCCCCTGGCTTCCATGCCAGAGCTGCAGATTCGGCTAGCGTTGTATTTAAAGCAACCCCCCCCCCACACCCACCAAAGAACCCTGATTCATACAGAGTTCACTGTGCACCAAGTGTTCGTGACATGGATTTCATTTCTCCTGGCGTGATTTTTTTTTTTTTTTTTTTTTTTTTTTTGCAAATCAGTTCATTGCAAGACTCGTGCGACAGGCAGCAGATTCGTCACTAGGGGACTACTTCAGAATTGGAGGGAAATTTCTTAAGTTCAAAAATTTGACCTTAATCTTAGGAATCCTGTGCTCTGGCTTTAGCGTTAACTTCCCAAGGCTCAGCCCCGCTGCTGGAATTCAGAGTTATGCTCACAATCAAGGAATATCTTCCATCCCAGTCTTCTTCATTCTGATCTTAGAGAGCTACTTCTTACTCATTAAAATCCCCATTTCCCGACATTACCATTTCAAAGAGAAAGAGGTGGATGATTAAGAGTGGGAGTGGTGACTTCAGAATTCTAAGTCTTAGTAATTGAATAGGTTCCCCTTTCTACACCTCAGTTTTATGAAAAGCAGAATAGGAAACAACACTACCTTATTACTAGAATTAAATGATGCTGGGCTTGGTGGCTCACATCTTTAATCCCAGCACTCCCTGGGGAGGCAGAGGCAGGTGCATTTCACTGAATTCGAGGCAGCCTGGTCTACAAAGCAAGTTCCAGGACAGCCAGAGCTGTTACACTGTCTTGAAAGACAAAAGAATTAAATGAGGTAGTATGTTGAAAGGCATTTAGGGCTAGCTTTAGTTTATATTAGAAGTAATTGGGACTGTGTCAAGACTTTTGAATTATAACCAAAGGCAACTCAGTTTATCTAGTTAAAAATACATGAACATTTACTGAATGCCTAAATCTCTCAGAAACAGAGCCCAGTATCCCTGTAGGAATAGCTAGGATTTATGTTATAGTTTGGATATGTGTCCCCCATTGGTCCATATGCCAAATTAGCCTGCCTGTGGTGTTATGAGCATGTTTTCCCTCCAGCCTGGAGCCACAGCCGCGCCAGCCCCAAATAACACACAGAGACACTTTATCAGATATAAAGCTGTTAGCCTGTTACTAGCATTTCTTATTAGCTAGCTCTGTCTTAAATATTAACCCATTTCTATTAATCTAAGTGTTTCCACGTGGTCTTATTTTACCAGGGAGAGGGCCCAGCATTCTGGTTTCTTGGTCCTACATGTTGAATCTCCTCCTACCTCTCCCTGACTCCTCCTTGTCTCCTAGTCCCACCTATCTTACTTTCCTGTTGGTCAACAGTGCTTTATTAATTAATCAATACGAGAAATATATTTACAGAATGACATCTCCCATCACTGTGGTAGAGTTTTATGAGGCAGGACATTAGGTGGAAGTTAGGATATTAGGAATGCGGTCTTAAAAATATTGGGACCACAGCTGGGCCAACCTGTCCCTCTCTGTTTCCCTGTGGCCACCATATGACCAGTTTTACTTTGCTGACATGCTTTTTACGGTGATCTACCTCAACAGGCCCAAAGCCATAGCACCAAGTGGCCCTTGATGGAAACACCTGAAACCATAGCAAAATAAACACATCCTTATAAGTTGTATTTCAAGTCACAGAGATAGAAAACTAATGCTTTACCATTATAAATAGGCTACAGCCCTGTCCACTTGATAGTGGCCACTTGCCCAGCGTACAGAAAGCCCTAAATTCAGTCCACCTAAAACAGGGCAGGATGGCACACACCGGTAAAGCCATTAGCCAGGAGGAACAAGATGAGGTAGAAGTTCAGGATCATCTCTGACTATTGGGTTATGAAAGCCCCAGTGTCAACAACAAAACCAGTGAAGATACAGTCCCCAAGCAACAAACCACATCACTATCCGCTTCCTAAAAGTCTCCATTGTAAAATTGGACTTCTCTAAGGAAAAAAAAGAGCACAATACAACAGAGAAACATTTTAAAAGTTATCCTTGATTTTTTCCAGTCAACATCATTTCCTCTTCAGTTAAAAAAAATCTGTAAAAAAAAAAAAACCTCCAACATACCTACCTGGGTAGTGGTGGTAGCCCATGTCTTTAATCCCAGCACTAAGGAGACAGAAGCAGACAGATCTCTGAGTTCAAGGTCAGCCTGGTCTACAGAGTGACCAGGGCTATAGAGGACAACCAGGGCTACACAGAGAAATCCCATCTTGAAAAACAAAAACAAAACAAAACATAACACAAACAAAACATCTGTGACATAAAAGGTAACTGGAACTCCAGGGAATCTGACGCCTTCTTCTGGTCTCCAAAACAACTAAGGCTGGGCAGTGTTAAGATGGGCCCTGATGAGTTCCCTGTGACCCTGAAGAGGATCCAACCCATTTCCTTCAAGGACTGTGCTGTAATACCTAGGCCCTTTTCCTCCTCCTCCTCCTCCTCATTCATCTTCTTTTTTAAGTAGGCAAAGAATTTTATTAACCTTTTTTCAAACGTGATTCCCAAGTTTCTTCAGCTTAATTTACCACAAAGGATGAATTGTGCATAAACAACAACCCAAAAGAGCTGTAGTGTCCAAGGGGCTTGGACGTAAAAATATTAGCGATCTAGGATTCATAAGCAAGGGAATTTCTGAAAGCACTCATGACATGAAGCCGCAGTAAGTTCTCCAGGGTTCATCTTTCCCACAAGTTGCCTCCCTTCAGTTTGCCTCATTCATAGAAGCCTCATCTAAATTCTCTACACGACCTGCAACTTCCTCCTCCTCCTCTCCAAGAGCAACTGATGCTTTGCCATTCCCCAGTTGTTTGGGGCAGAGCTCTGCCATTCGCCTTAAACCAGTCAGGCTGTCTGCACCAAGCTAGTGTGGGACAGTGGGAAGCATTTCTGCGGGCTGCCGTGTCCCATCGTGGCCTGTAACGGTGGAAGTGTTTTTGGCCTGAATTTTAGGGTATTAAAATGGATCATGTTCCTCTTCCATACCAGAGATATTATTTATGCCTAACTTCTCTGAGGAGAACTGAAGTTTGTCATCACCTGCCGTGGCTGTACTATGATCCACCTTCTTTCTGTGAACAGTTCCTTTCCCACCAATATGCACTTGTGCCCAGTTTGGCGAGTTTTCCCCGGGTCATCATCGTTTCTTTCATTTGGTTGGATCAGAGGGGGACTGTGAGAGGGACTAGGGTTCGGGCTGAGAGGGTCTCTGGCAGACCAGCTGAGATTAGGTGCACACTCGAGGGGATGCAAGAAGGCAGCTAGAGGGAGGTGTGGGGGGTCCTCTGCTTTTTAAAAAGTCTTTCAGTGCCTACTCTGTGCATGGCAAGCATGAGTTCTGCTCTTCTAGTTCTGGTTCTGTTTCTCCTTTTCTGCAAAAGAGACTAGATTGGGCTAAAGCTCTTGATCCTCCTGCTTCTATCTCCTGAGTACTGGGATCCTAGGCATGTGCTGCCGAATCTAGTGGCTCTTAAAATTTTCTGTCTCCAAGAATGGGGTTTGGTGGCACACGTCTGTGATCCCAGCCCTGGGAAGTGGAAGCCTGACTCTGTCCCATTAAAACACCCAAATAGCTATCAAATAACTATGTATTTTGTTGTATTGTGTATATGGGCATTTTGCCTGAATATGTGTGTGTATTCCATGTGTGTGCCTGGTACCTGGGGAGGCCAAAATAGGATACTGGAACCTCAGGAACTAGAGTTACAGACAGTTATGAGCTGTCATGTGCGTGCTGGGAATCAAACATGGGTCCTTTGGAAGAAAAGCTAGTGCTCTCATCACTGAACCATTTTTTCTAGCACCCCCCCCAAACAAAGCTTAAATAAAAGAATATTACTTCCAGCCTGCTGACTATGCTACTCTAGATGACTCCATGGGACACTGGGGCTCTGTACCTTGGCTAGCCCCTGTACAGCCTGATTCTTCTGGGCATTCTCTAGCGTCTCTTTCATGCCTAGATTCATCCCCTCGTCCTCTCTGTCTGCCTGGAAGTCCTACCTAACCTCTTCCTGCCTAACTATTGGCCATTCAGCTCTTTATTAAACCAATCAGAAGGCGCCTTGGCAAAGACACATCTTCACAGAGTACAAAAAAATTACCCTCCCACATCTATCACTTACTGAGAAAATGCCCCATAGGCTCTCCTGGAGCCAGACCTCATGGAGGCGACTTCTCAATTGTGACTCTCTCAGATGATTTTTAGCTTGTGCTAGGTTGACATAAAATTAACCAGCACAGGTCTACACAATGAAAACTTAAAACATTGAAGAAAGAGATTGAAGAAGACATCAAAAGATGGAGAGAACTCCTTTGCAAATGGATTAGCAGGATTGATATTGTGAAAATGACCATCCTACCAAAGCTACCTAACAGTAAATTCAATGCAATACCTATCAGAACTCTAAGACAATTCTTCCCAGAAATCAAGTAAAAACAACCTTAAAATTCACGTGGAAAGCTCCACATAGCCAAAACTATCTTATACAATCAAAACATTTCTGGATGTACTGCCATTCCTAATTTCAATTTCAAGTTATAATACAGAGCCATGGCGGTAATAGCATTATATTGACACAACCAGGTACAGCGATCAGTGAAAGAGAATTGAGGATCTAGCTGTAAGCCCAAGCACATACAAAAACCTGGATAACTACATGTAGAACAATGAAACTTGATCCTATTCTCTCG